GGTCAGGAAATAATCCCCCCAAAAAACACCTCCATAATAGTAATCTGTTATTGTTTGGCATGAAGGAGTTTCCAGAGAAGCGTGCACACGGACCCAGAGCTGTGCGGCGGTTTGTCATCAGTGCGATTGGGCGCTCCGTCACCCTGATGTCCCTCCAATCTCATTACCATCCGCACGGCAACAGCTACGGCGCTTTCCTTCACGCTCGGAGCAAGAGAGGAAATCCCTTCAGAGAGAAATCAAAAGATAATAATAAAAGATGAGGACGGGAGGAGAGCGAAGCCGGAATGTAATGTGTGATTTTGTATTTACAGGCGACATATCGTGCTACAGTCGTATAGCTATAGGATTTGTGACAATTTTAATTTAAAGACATTTAAATAACGAGCTAAAACTTTTCAATTTGCTGACATAGATCGTAGCAGCAACAGTTTTTTATTCATCCGTGCCAAAATGCCTGCGTACATTCTACAGTACCAAACAAAAAGTGTATAACAGATTAGAAAGAAATAATTTAAAACAACTAACAAATGAAGTGAAGAAAGGTGGACTGTGGAAATGGTCACAGCGAGCATAAATACTTAATTTTTTTCTTTTATATAGCGTCAGGTGTTCGCAAAATAACACAGATTCACGAGGCTGTCACTCTGAACTCACATATGGTTAAATGCACTGTAGTTGTACAGATAATATTCACATCCATGTATATCTTTATTAGCAATAGCAGCTTCATATTTACACTCAGATATAACTGTATAACTGCTTTGTAATTGTTTTCTAAATAAGGCTAATGGCAAGTTTAATTGTATAGCACAATTCATACACATTCATAAATAATCAAGGTACATTAAAAACAGATAGAAGATAAAATCCCTCAGTTGTATGCACAGCTAAACAGAGCAGTTTTAACCTGGATTTAAACATTGTCAGAGAAGAAGTAATTAACCTGAATCTAATCTTGTAATTACTCGAGGGTACCTAACTTTCAAACCACAAAAACATTTACTATGAAATACCTACTTCCTGACTTTCTAAACCAGGTGTCTCCGAACTTTTTCACCCGGAGAGCGGCTTTACCATGATACGATAAAGGCAGAGAGCAACTCCTTTAAGCGACCCTGGGAAGAAACTGGTGATATATTGGTGTGAACAAGCCTGATAATGGGTCCAGTCTATTCATCATTGCATATTTGTTACTAGTGCACAAAGTAATTGCATTTACAATAACAAATATTGAATAATACAATCTGCAATAGTAAGTATTTTATTTTTATCATTTCTAAATCCTTTGGCGAGCAACCTTGAAGAGGGTGGCGAGCTACTGGTGGCTCCCGAGCTACAGGCTGGAGACCCCTGCTCTAAATTCTATTATTATATGACTTGGACCGTATGCGCGCTCTGATTGGCTGATTACCGGTCTGATATTTTCCCATCTCGGACCGTTACCATGACAATTGGTCCGAACAGCGCGTATCACATTTGATATCTTTCCTCGGACCTTTACCATAACAATCTGTCCGCCGCGGTCTGATATTTCTCCATACAAACCTCGCGCTCGGTTAATAAGCCGTTAATATAATTTGTCCCTTGTGGCATCTTTAGATCAGCTTTTCAAGATAAAATATGAAAAAGAGAGAAAGACCACCCTCACTCAGCCAATCAGCTTTCATCTTGCAGGGCTCTTTATTACAGGTAAACATGGGTCAATGACGGATAAGGTTTTTTAAGAGGCCAATTTCAAAATAGACAGAATATAAATTTTCACAGCAGTTGGTCAAAGCTGTACAATGTCATGTGTAAATACAAACAGGTTAAAATCATGAATTCAGATAAAAACATTTCACGTAAATGAATCAGTCTTAAAAATGTCATGTGGTGTGACCGTCAACTTAAATTTTTTCCGCAAGTTTTTAGTAGTATGATGTGTCTAGAAACTATTTGTAACTTGTGACTTTAGTGTAATTTTCATACATACAGATTTAATCGTCATTTCAATAAAGTAGCGGCTTATTTTTCTGCTGTCTTCGTGTTATCGTACACTTCAAAATGTTGCAGTAAGAATATACAATAAAGTCATGAATTATAGTCTTTCCTTGAGTCCTTCGTTATTTCTGCAAAAATATTTAAATAAAAGAAATTCACAACCAATCGAAAACACAATCACAAGAGAACACAAAAGGTCACTCCTGAGCGTATTCTGAAAGTGGAGATGTGATTAAAGGACGTTTATAGAGTCTCGTGAGAATGAGGAAAGCGCCTTCACCTGCGTTTAATGACTCGGAGCTGTTGATATGCGGCGATCGGCCGACTGCTTTTCACCGCGCAATGATACGTCGCTGCAATTAGGATAAATGTCAACTGGGATTACACGGGCCGCACGTTACAGCAGCATTATTTTCGGGATCATTTCATTATTTTGCCTAATTACCACATTTTTTGGCTGCTTAAGAAGTCGCCGGTGCATGAAGGCATCAGCCAGAAGAATACATAGAAGGTTTTGACACTTCTTTGGGGTTGTGATTAGCGGCATGTGGCGAGGCTCACGCAGAGATGGTTTGGACGTGGGAGAGGGGCAACTTCACTGCTGCTCATTTATACAGAAATGATGTATATGTTTTATGAATGTGAAAACTACCGACATTCAACACCAATGTAACATATAAAAATGCAATACGATTCAATAACAAACAACATTTAATAGAGAAAAAGGAAAAGAGAAATAGAAATGTCTAGTTTGTCCCGGCGGCGGTGTTTTAAATCCAAAATATCTGTGTTATATGAAAGTTCTGAGGTGCAATACTGTTGTAATGTCATAGTAATAATTTGCAATACAGTGAGAATATAGACCATAAATATTCTGAACAGCCTGGAGACACACTGGGGTAGTCTTGCACAGTTTTTCCAATGTGGTTTTACTGCAAATGGCAAATAAATGAATGAATCTGAGACATGGCTGACATGTGTAAATGTAAAAGTATTGCTACATTCTTATACTTCACATAATAATAATAATCTTAACCACATACATTTTAGACCTTTTTTCTCTACGCATTTTCAAAACAGTTTTCTTACTTTTCAGTGCTTTTAGGCATTCTGTTTTGAGTAGTTCGTATAAACACTGCTCTGTATACTTTACGTGGCAACACTGGAATTTCCCCACTGTGGGACGCCAGTACAGGTGAAATCACACTATCATGTTGTTGTTTGTTGTTTATCTATGAAATTAATCTGTAGCACTGATGGAAATGTAAGGTGCAATACAAATCAATTGTATTATTATTATTATTACTATTATTGTTATCATTGTGGCTCACAGTCCATTTTCAAATAACTAATTTTCTGAGGGTTTTTTGGGTCTTTGACAGCAGTGAGCCAATATTAAACATAATAACAAATCGAGGTTTGACATATCTTGACAAGTTAATTTGTCTGTTATATTGATATATGTAAAAATAAGTATTGTGCTGGTTCAAAATACTTAAAATAAATACAATTCTGACTTGTGCATCATACATTAGTTTCACACTGTAAGTTGAAATGCAGAAGTGAACGGATATTGTATTCTAATGTGATGTCACCTGTGTGGATCTGTCTCTTGTGTTTGCTTGTTCTCTCCGTGCATGGCTATGATACTAGACACATACACTTTTTCCACACCAATCATTTCATCGCTGTTGTGATCGCTTTGTTGACAGCACAATTCTCTCAGCTCCGCCTCTGACATGATGTTGAATTTCACCTCGAACAATATATAATTTTTACGCTCACAGTGAGAGCTGTGATATCGTCTTCCCTTTGAGCCGTAGCACAATAGATCTCTGGGTGTTTTTTTTTTTCACAGCTGCATCAGATGTGCATCATTTACATGCGGCGCCACGGTCTCGTCTCCGTGTGCTTCAAGGTCACATGTTCAACACCAGAGAGTATAAGAGAAAATCGGATGTTATAGGAGTAAGCTAAGCAGGCAGACAAAAGGCATGAAAAGGCACAGGCGAACAAAGGGTTTTAAAGAAAGCAATGTGGAGCAAGTATGAACCAATGCAACCATGTTAAAGCTGTGGACTTAAAGGGGAATGTGCAATTAGATCAAAAGCTGTGCAATCTAGAGTTTCATGTCCCCAAATATTTTCTGTAATACTAACTGTTCCTCATGCAAACCCAGCAATGACATCCAAGAGAATACTGGCATTTGAGAACAAACAGAACTCAGCCTCATTTTCAAAGCAATGCTGTCCTCTGATGACTCTGAAAGATAAAGTCTATAAATGTAACAAAAGGGAGGTTTATGGTATGGAGACAATCATTCATGTTGCAGAGTATAAACTAAAAACAAATATTTCAGATTAGTATGTGGCTGACTTTGAGTTCTGTTGGTGTATAACAAGATGGCATTATTTCACGGACCTTGGGAAATGTAAATTTGTAAAGCCCTAAATCACAGCAGCAGTTGTCTCTGAGGGTTTTATAAAGTTGTCGATTCGCCAACACAGATCAGAGAATCAAACAGTTTGAATACAGGAAATACAATAACAACCAACACATAGGAGCCATTGGTTCATAAAGGGGCAGAGGACCAATGTCCATAAATACTAATAAATGTCCTTAAATTACGAATCAAGGAAGGACTCAAGGGAGGACTCAAGGGAGGACTCATGGAAGGACTCAAGGAAGGACTCAAGGAAGGACTCATGGAAGGACTCATGGAAGGACTCAAGGGAGGACTCAAGGAAATACTCAAGGAAGGACTCAAGGAAGGACTCATGGAATGACTCAAGGGAGGACTCAAGGGAGGACTCAAGGAAATACTCAAGGAAGGACTCAAGGAAGGACTCAAGGAAGGACTCATGGAAGGACTCAAGGAAATACTCAAGGAAGGACTCAAGGAAGGACTCATGGAATGACTCAAGGGAGGACTCAAGGGAGGACTCAAGGGAGGACTCAAGGGAGGACTCAAGGAAATACTCAAGGAAGGACTCAAAGAAGGACTCAAGGAAGGACTCATGGAAGGACTCATGGAAGGACTCATGGAAGGACTCATGGAAGGACTCAAGGAAGGACTCATGGAAGGACTCAAGGAAGGACTCAAGGAAGGACTCATGGAAGGACTCAAGGAAATACTCAAGGAAGGACTCAAGGAAGGACTCAAGGAAGGACTAAAGGAAGGACTCAAGGGAGGACTCAAGGAAGGACTCATGGAAGAACTCAAGGAAGGACTCAAGGAACCCCTCAAGGAACGACTCAAGGATAGACTTTCTACCAGCTGACATTTTAAGAGTGCGAAACCTTGAGGAAAGGATCCGCTGCCACAGGCTGTAGGCTATAGATCCAGGACTGTAGAACGAGGAACAAGGCCACACGGTGTAGGGCTGAGGTAGCTCCCAGGAGGGGACGGGGCGTAACCCAAAACTCTGTGTCGTGAGAGAAAGTCCATAAAGCTCATGATCGAGTGAGATTTTTTTATTTATTAACATTTTTATTAATAATCATTCATCTTTATCCAACTCAGCACACGCTCAGATCTGCCCTTTGCTGCTTCAGCGTCAGGCGTCTGCTGCACTAAAGTCAGTGTTGCATTCCGCCGCACCATATGCATACTAACTATATCATTTATCCATATGACAAGAAAGTATTTCAATTAGAGAGAAACGTTAAAAAGCCATTACGGAATTATCGGTTCAAGGTATTGGAATAACGAGCAAAATGAATTACATCTGTGAACAATGTATGAGGACAGGAAATACTGAGACACCTATGGACTGATTTATGGGGTTTGCACATTTTATATTCATATTTTAATCAAATTATAGTTGATTCATGCAAGATTGAATCCATACAAACTGTGGTGTGACAAATGTGGATGGGCCACAAGTGAAGAGGGCCGCCTTGTAAATTTCTCCACTCTGAGATCAATAAAGTGTATCTTATTTTATCTTGCATCAAAGTGATCATTTACACTATGCACTCAAGACATTATCTGCTCTACTGTTTTTACCAAATCGCTTCCATGTTCAAAAGAATTTCCAAATATCAAACAAACTCTTTGAAACAGCAGGTGGAGAATGGACAATAAACAATTGATTCAAGATGAACGGGGGAGACTTTTGAAGTAACGCAGCAATCTTGTTCTTCTTTTTCTTTGAGCATAATATAAACAACCTGTACTCGCTATAGCTGCAACGTGCGAGTGCTACAGCTGCAACAGGACACAAAAGGTGGAAATGAAAGAGGGAATACCTGTGGCCTTATGCCCCCATGTTCATCCCACTGTAATGACTCTATCCACAGGCTGCGGTATATACCAGGCTTCTGTCAATAGGAGCTCAGAATTCACTTCATGCTACAGTCGCACATCAAACAACTGCACCTTAGTGTTCACTCAATAACGTAGAAGCAAATAAAAGCTAAATTAAAATCGAGCCATTGTTTGTGTGTTAGGTACAGTATATGTCTTTACTGCTTCTGACAACATGCCTCTGGTAGATATATTGGCTGTGCCGTTATGGGCTGCACCAGTTCCAATACTGAGAGACTGTATCTATCTTTTGGCTTTAAGCTTTAAGTCTTAAGAAACTAATTTTACCCTCACCTTCACACAGATGATTGAATTATATCAAGAGAAACTTTTGTACAGTTTTTAATGTTCTCTAACCAATTCTTGGGCTACTATAGTCCTATTGCATCAGGGAAGAAAAAAAAAAACCATGTCTTCCTTCAAAATGAGGGATTTAATAACCTCAATATGTATATGTGCAGGTGAAACTGGGAATTTACAGCATTGTACAAAAGTCCATTTACTTCTGTATAAACGCACAATGTGAAACTAATATGAGACAAACGCAAAGTGAGATATCCGGCCTTTAATTGTTATAAAATAGATAATTGGCTCACATTATGATTATTAAAACAATTATAGTTCTTGTTTAAATATAAAGTCCATAGAAGTCATATATCAAGGAGTAGATTGCTTTCTGTAACCGTGTTGCTCATGCTCCATGCACTACAACATTCACACATGCCAAACAGAGCTCTCACATGTTGTTTTGATGATTGTGAATGACATTGTGGCCCCATGGACGCATCAGAAGACCCTTCCATCATCTTGTGAAGTGGCCTTCTTTCCTTTACAAGTACCAGGAAGCCCTTGCGTTTCTCTTTTCTGCATACTAATGTATTGGTTAGATACAACATGCACAGCTCCCAGAATCCTCTTTGCCAATGGCTTTTCATATTGTGCCAAGCGGGGTGCCAGGTCTCACATGCATAACTAGCACAAAGGAGTGGAGGCGACTTGTGGAGAGGCAGCCTGATAGGATGCAATTGGGGTTTAATTTGTTTGCATATCTGACAGTAGACAAAGGAGGACGGCTCAAATTAATTCTTCCATCTCCTTGCAACGGGGGAAACGTGCAAAAGCTCCTGGCGCGGCTTTGGATTCCTGTATTTTTTTAGCAGAAAAGGGCAACAATTCAACCTTCAAACTGACAAAATTAATACATTGATTCGAGTGTGTAGTTGGATGTGGGAGAGAGAATGTGTGAGAATGCGTGGGTACTTCTGTGTATCGCAACAGGGTGTCAAAATCATATTCTGAGAGTTGTGCTACAGGGAAACAGTGAATCCGACTGTATATCTGTATTCGTTGATGTGTCAAATCGAAAAATATACAAATACCATTTATTTTTTATTAATACAGCTCAAACCTTTGTAATCTCTTTTTAAATAACAACAAAATCAGGCATACATTTTCTTTCACTTCACAGTTTGTTTATTGTGAATGAACTTTCAGTAAAAGTTATCTTCATATTTATGGTAAGCTCTGCAAAGAAGTTCAAGGTGGACTAATACTTTCGAGAGGCACCGTGGCTTGAATTGTGAAGCATGTCCTTAGATTTGTTCAGAGCGAGCAAACTGAAAAAGTGTTCTCATTGGTTGACTGCAAGGTCAAGTGAACATGTTTTTCTCATTCTCTGTAAAGGCTCCTATGTCACCTTAAAAGTGCAAACTTATATCCAAAAGCTCAAAGTGGATATTGTAAAGACAAATCTACAGAATGTCCTTTTATTGTGTGTGTATGTTTTTATTGTCAAACTAAGGATCATCATCCCTCGGCTAACACCAAATAGACTGTATCCCATATTCACCCAGTATTTTCCTTAATGCGGAGAAGGTTGATTAGTATGAAAGTAAGTCATCTCTATTTAAATAGCACATTTTACAGACCAAGGTCACCCACAGTGCTTTACAATCAAAGTTCAGATACGCCAAACACACTGGTGCATCAAAGCCCCAACACCAACACCTTCCATTTACTCTCTCATTACACTCTTCTACATGTTTTTAGCGGTAGGAGAAATCGGAGCAGACACGGGAAGAAGATGCAAACTCCTTCTTGCTGTGAAACACAAGATCTAATCGTCTATATGTTTACTGCCAATACGTCGCAGGGGTGATTCTGTACGCTGCCGGTGTAAAACAAACAAACAAACTTGTTAAGGTTAAGATCAGTGGGTTGAAAACAAGATGGCGGCTGCGGGATCAAAGCGGCCCTCGGAGGAGTTTGCTGCAGGTGTAGAGGAGATGGCCCTGGCGCCTGGAACTCCTGTCGCTGGAACTCATGGTCAAACAGACAGAGCAGAGTTTTCCTCAGAGACTCCATCGTTCTGTTCTCTGCTGCTGTGAAACGCATCAGTAACGATCCCCTGTTTTACCACATGTGTCCCTCGAGTGATCATGCCTCATGTTTATGTAGAAAAACAGACTGCAGGGAGCCGGCATCCGTCTGTGGGTGCAAAGAAACGGAAAAAAAAATAGTGGAATATCACCACTATTAAATTATTCTTAAAATGAAATTGACAATAGACATAAAACCATCTATTTGTATTACAGCAATGTGTGAATGTGAATCTAAACATTTCACATTCCATCTTGCATTTGTCCAGTGCATTTAACCCAACGCCACTGAGGCACCAGTGAGGGCTTGGGTCAGCACCTGTGGAGGCAACACTACAAACTACATGGACACTAACTCTAAACACAAAGGAAGCATCTCGTTGCTATCTTACAATTGTCTGGTATAGAAGAAGAAGAAGAACCAAATGACTTTATTCTACACACAAAGGCCCGGCAACTAGAGGTGCACCGATCAGGAATTTCACCGGTCAATCACCGATCAATCACCGCCGATCCGATCAAATATTGATATTTTTAGTGATATAAAAGTATCAATAAAATAACATTTTAGTGATATTTAGTGAATAGGACTAGTTATTCACTTTATAACTAATATTTCAAAACCATAAAGGTACTAGATAGTATAAATAAAATTCCCTCGGGGTACTCAAGACAAAAAGGTTGGGAACTACAAGTATACGCTACAGAGACACATACAAAAAAAAAACAAATTAAATGAAATACAGCAATACTGTACATGCTGCATTTCTAAACGGATTAAAAAGAGATCGTTAAGGCAATGTTTGTTCTTCAGGAATATTAGCATCTCAGCATTTGCAGGAAGTTTATTACGTTTATCATCCTGAATAGTCCCGCTGCGTAAACAGCCGCTCGCTGTCTACACTTGTGCATGGAGCACAGAGGAAAGCTTACGCTGCTTTGGCCAAAGCAGGGAAGCGGCTTTTATTTTCCTTCCAATAAACAAGCGGCTGTCCGCTCCGAGGTGTATCTAGTTTCACCAGGTAAGCGACACTGTAGGACTGTCTGTACGACCACTACACTCATCTTCCTCCAACATTTCTGTGAACATAACATGCAAAGTCCCGACACGGGATGTTTTGGCTGTGGCTCGGAGCTCAGCGCTGCTGAGTGTGTTCGTGTGTCTGTGCTGTGTGACTCCGGCTGGGCTTGGAGTGTCAATTTGAGAATATACAGTTTGGTAAAGCTGCGGCAGGCAGACATCAGTCAGATCTCTCCGTGATGGCAGATTGAAGCAGTGGACATGAGTCGTTTGAACCCAGCGCTTTCCACGATAGACAAGGGCAGGTGGCAGAGGGAAAAAAATTCCATAACTTTTGTGCATATTTTGTGTTTTTTCTTACGTCATTACTGTGTGGTTGTTGCCGTTGTAGAATCTCCGTAACTGTTTACGCAATTTTGACGAGAGAAAGTAACTTGTGCGCACGAAACCCCATGTTATATGATCGGTCTTTCTGATCGGCACATTTCACCGGTCACCGATCACGCAAATTAAGCCGTGATCGGCCGATTATAATCGGTTACCGATCGATCGGTGCACCTCTACCGGCAACTT